TGTCGTTCAGTTTTTCACTAATGTCCCCACCCAAAATTAAAGAACAAATAGCGCCCTCCTCTGTTTTTCTCCCAAAAGTGCGGGAATTCGTGAAATAGGCACCGCAATAGGATTTTAATACTCAAACAATCGTTGCAATAGGAATCTAATAATCGAAAATAAGGTTTTTAATTCTCCGTTGTGCTATAAGGTTCGTATTCATCTGCAAATGTCGTCTTCTTCTTTTTTTCTATAAGTTCTTTTTAATTCGTTACTAATTCAATATCTACTTGATGCAGCAAGTTTAAAAAAATATATAAGCCTTATTGCACAAAGGGTATCGTTGGATTTGGCATTGGTTTGGCAGCATTGGTGAGTGTAACAAGTTTAATATTTTTGTTGCTTGTTTTTCGTCTGCGTACTCATATATTCGAGTGCCTTTTTTTTTTTTCCCAGATTCTCACTTTGTCCTAAATAATGAATACAAATATGACTCCCACACTTGATCTTGAATTTGATAATTTAGAAGAGGCATGGCAGTATTGGGTTGGCTATGGCAAAAGAATGGGATTTGGTGTTAGAAAGGAAAACTCCAATAAAAGCAAGAAAGATGGTTCTATCATATATTATAAATATGTTTGTCACAAGGAGGGAGTGAGAAAACCAGATAAAAGAGATTTCAAAATTAGGAAGCCTCAACAGGAAACAAGAACTGGGTGTGAAGTCAGAATGATAGTTAAAAAAGTGAATGGAAGATTTAGAGTTAGTGAACTTTATTTGGATCATAATCATCCTTTAGAGCCTCAAGAAACTGTTCACATGTTTGCATCACAGAGGAAATTACCAGAAGCACAAGGTTATGCTTTAGAAGCTGCTGAAGACGTCGGGATTAAGCAAAAAGCCTCTTTTAATTTAATGAGTAAATATGTAGGAGGGAGGGCTAATTTAGGATATACTGAAGAGGATATAAAGAGTTATCTAAGAGCAAGGAGACAACGAAAAATGTGCTATGGTGAAGCCGGGTGTCTACTTCGTTATTTCCAACATCAACTAATAGAAAATCCTTCATATTTTCATGCCTATCAAGTGGACTCAGAAGATCGAATAACTAATGTATTTTGGGCTGATCCACGTATGTTGTTAGATTATGATTGTTTTGGGGATGTCATTTCATTTGATACAACATACTCCACCAATCGTGAAAATAGATCGCTTGCCATTTTCTCAAGTTTCAATCATTATAGAGAAGTAGTGATATTTGGTGCTGCATTATTGTATGATGAGACCATTTAATCTTTTAAATGGCTTTTTGAAACTTTTCTACAAGCACATAAGGAAAAATTGCCATTTACTGTATTTACTGACCAAGATGCTGCAATGGCACGAGCCTTGGAAGAAGTAATGCCAACCGTGAAGCATGGCTTGTGCACTTTTCATATTAATAGAAATGCGGTGAAACATCTTAGAAACTTGATGAAGGATGACTCTCATTTTTTGGGTAAGTTTAATTGGTGCATGTATCATTGTGAAGAAAAACTAGTGTTTGAGGAATCTTGGAAAGAATTATTGTTGAAGTACAATGCAGTAGATAATCCTTGGTTGATGTCCATTTATGAGTTGAAAGAAAAATGGGCAGCATATTACATGAAGGATTCAAAGACTCTTGGTATGAGAAGCACACAGCTTAGTGACAGTATTAATTCTTTCATAAAAAGTTGTACAAATCCTGAATTGAATATCAATCAATTCTTTGAAATCTTTGAACAGGTTGTTGTAGATAAATGATATAATGAATTAAAGAGTGATTTTAACTCACGGCAGAAGTTGCTGAGGTTGATTTTAAAGAGTTCATCTATGCTTCAACAGCTTTCTGAAATTTACACTCCACCAATTTTTGACTTGTTTCCAGCAAGAGTATGACTTGCGTGATGCTACATGTATAAAAGAGAGCAAGGAAAGAAAGATAAATGAAGATGATGATGCCATTGTATTTGAATATGTAATCACAAGAGTTGATAAAAAAAGAGAGTGGAGATTGACATATGAGCCAGCAAGAGAAGACAAGGAGTCTAACATTACTTGTAGCTGTAAGAAGTTTGAACAATGGGGAATATTATGTTGTCATGCATTGAGGATATTGTACGATCGAGATGTAAAGTTACTTCCACATAAATATATTTTAAATAGGTGGACAAGAGAAGCAAGGTGTGGTATGGTACATGATAGCAAGGGAAAGGAAATTGAGGTTGATCCTAAACTAGAATGTTCAAATCGATATAGGCAATTGTGTCCAATGATCATAAAATTAGCCAGTGAAGCATCTGAATGTCCAGAGGCATTCTCTATGGTTCATCAAATGGTGCTAGAACTTGGTAAAAAAGTGTCTGAACTTCTTACTGAAAATTCATTAGATGGTGTTGATAATGAAGTTGGCGTTAATAATGATGATGATGGAAAAAATTATGGTGAAGGCATTGGATTCAAAAAAGAGAACGCAAGAAGATTGATAAAAGTTGGGTTGACAACCCTAATCAGAAAAGAAGAAAAGTTAAAAATTCAAAAAAAGCTGCTCACAAGCCTTCGCAAAGTTTGAAGGTAAAAATTATTTATATTGATTTTTTTTAAATGTCATCATGGTTTTTATTAAGATTTTATTTATATCATTACAGGAAACCCAAAAGTCAACTCAGGTACAGCATAGTCTGCCTGTGTCAAATACACTTGTGACTATGCAATATGGCCCTCCTATATCAACTACACTAGTTTCAATGCAATAGTCCCGCTATGTCAAATACTCCAATGCCAATGCAATATGGTCCCCCTGTCTCAACTACACCAGTGCCACTACAATATGGTCCTCATGTGTCAACTTCACTAGTTCCAATGCAATATGGTCTCCCTATATCAAATACATCAACACCAATGCAACACGGTCCCTTGATCTCAAATATACATGAACTAAGTCAAATGCCATTCACATCATTGATGATGGTGAGACTATTCTATTTCAAGTTCTTGAGTAGTTTATTCTATTTCATTTCATTTTTTTTATGCTTGTAGGCTCCATTGGACCATGAAGTGAAGTCACTTGAAGCCTTAGAATTTAGTCAAGTATTTACAAAAGGTAAATCATATCACAACATGAAAATATATTGAAAAGATTAAGACAATTTTATTCAAATAAAGAAACTTCTATTACAATAGAATTATATTACATTTCTGCATATAAACTATCTTACAATATGTTACAGATATAGGTTTACAAAAGAACTTAGATCATCCTAAATGAAGTCATCCAATTAAGTTCTTATCGTTCCAGACAACGGCTTGAATTCAGCTCCTTGGGCTTTTCTCTTCCTTATTACGATAGCTCTTAAGATGACTGTATGGCATTTATTGTATTTGAGCTGCTCTCTTTTTGATCATGTAGCCCATATTGGTGACAACATAGTGATTGATTTCAGCTACTATTTTCTTTTTCAACTGCAATTATAAAGTTTAACATTGAATGGTTATTTTCATTATCTACCATAATATATTTAGGCAAAAGTGTTAAAGATGATCCTTATATATTTCCAACTGTGATGTTCACGCTGTCACAAAGAAGAGAACGCAGGATGTCAATAAGTCCTTATAAGTTCTCTCAATATATTGCAAACTCAAAATGCCAACATAATTTGGATATAAAAAATGCCAACACGTCACAGGGCACAGGCATGATTCATTTTCTTAATTTCAAAAGAAAATAATTTTAAATCAGATTTAACAATTAAACAAGTCATCAATTAGTAGGGGGAAAATGTCTCCCTTGCTTTTCGTAACAATATTGAATCATATAAAGCATCTTAAGATAGAAAGATTGAATATGATAGAATCAAAGTAAACACTCTTGTCACTATAGTTGGCCACCACAGCTCCACCCATCCCTAATGAGTTGCCCACAAACTTACAATTAGAATCTGATAGATAATGAAATGTTTTTCTGGGGCTAAATTAATTCCAGTAATGAGTTCCATGATCCCTTAGCTACTTGACACTTCTGTAATTTATTACCTTGAAGACCAAATTAATATCTGTCCCACTAATTTACAAGGAAACTAAAGATTTAGCACATAATCAAATGTAGAATTAAGCTGACTTAATACTTCAATTAACTGCCCGGTCTCATTGAATCTTCATAGGAAGGACACATCCCTTGACAAGTTTTGAACAAGTCATTAACATTGCTCACCCACATAAACTTGATAGCAGTAAAATTATATGCAGCAGCAAGGAGAAATCAAGTATGGCTTTCAATTAACCCAATTAATGTGTCGGCTGAAGAGAATATTTGAGAATACCTAGTGAGGGAAATTCGACCCAATACAAACAAAAACGCAAGGAAAAACTCAAGCTTTGTGTGAAGTAATTTTGAAAAGAGTACCTCTTCTTTGTTCGCGTCTCTTCATCGTCCCTGAATTTACAGGATTTTAAGAGAAACCATCACCCACCACAAGATCCATAAGCAATTGGTAAAAAACACCCACACACGAGACCGAAGAGTGAGCACGGAAATCGTCTGAAGAAAGAAGGAGGGGGGCGTGGGTAAAAGGGCAAAAGTGACTATGCAATTTTTTTATTGGGTGGGGACATAACTAAAAAGAAACGGTACCGTTTAAGGGAAATGGAGGGAAATGGTTCATAAAGGAAATGGAGACACCCTATGCCCGTCGTACACACTCCCTCCCCCCTCCTTCCCGCCATACACCTCCTTCCCCATCCAATCCCGCTGAGACACGTCACCAAAAGAAGAATCCTCATTCGCTTCTTCATCAGTGGCAGAGCACCCCGTATTTCCCCGGAGCCAGGCATTGCTCGTGAGTCGCGACATCTTGATCCTTCTTTGAAGGCCTCTTCGTTTCCATCCGTCGAACCACCGCCTTCTTTCTAATTTGTTTTAAACACCGACGACGACGACGCCTTTTTCTCCTTCACGCAAGTAAGAGCCACGGAGGAGACAGTTGCAACTTGCAAGAAGTGCGATGGGGATGGAGAGAATCACGGGCCCTCGACCTGTCTCGGCATTCAGAGAGAAAGCAGCTCTCAGTGTCAGCGAGTTCTTTGAAGCGGGCGATAATCTTGACGCCAAATGCCGCACTCGATCATGGTAATTTTCTGGACATACCATCTCGAAACATAAGTTGAACATTTGCGTTTGATTATTGTTTTTTGATTTTGGGAGGGCATTACTCTTGTTTCTTGATTCGGGGAGGGTACCAGATCGCTACTGTAATTAGGTCCTGAATCTTCTTTACAGGCCGATTTTCTTTTGTATGATTATCTTGATTACACGTTTCTCAGGCAAAACAGGCAGGAATCAGGTGATCAGACTAACCAGCGGAAGCCAAATGGTAAGACAAAATCTTGAATTGATGCTCCATACATATACCGATTCATTTTGAAGTGCTTTTGTTTACTAGTGACCATTTATATATATAATGGACTGGTGGATGGCGTACGTGATCGAGCAAGTCGTGCAAACATTGCTGATGTGAACTTTGATCCGAATCATATCTGGCCAAAGATCGTACCTTACTATGTTCTTTGTTTTGATATGCTTTTATTTATTAGTAACATTAATCGACTTCACAATTTCAATTGTCTGATTTGCTTGACAAATTTGCTATATATTGCCATTATTTTGTTTGTGTTGGCTCTTGAGTTAGAATACATAATATAATCGTGCTTTCTGTACGAGAGGTACATGTCGTGTAGGATATATACGGTGGCTGACAGACTCTACAACCTTTTCATTCTGTTGTTTTTGAATAAAATGTCCTATGTTCTTACGTTATTTATGTGATTTTATGTCTGCATTTTTCTTCTCTCTTTAGGAGGTAAAGCTGATGGGGATCAGAATTCACCTTCCATGGGAAGCGTAGAAATCAGGAACAGGGACTCTGCTAAGCCAGTTTCTTCCACCATGGGAGGTGGTGGAGAAGACGGTACGCCAGAAGATGTTGCTGTATCAGTCATAAGGGATATCCTCATCTACGTTGCGCCTGACATGGTGACCCCGATGAGGATTCCCGGTGAGCAGTGGGAGCTTATTCGCCGCGAGTTCGATGGCCACAAAACTAAAAGTAAAAGAGTACCAGAAGGGAAAAATGTCGTATTCCAATTCTCATCAACAAGGGGCTACCGAAATGAACTGATTCCACCTCCTGCTCTCCCCGAAATCTAGAATTTCATGAATGTGTACTCCAAGATTGCGTTTTTAGCCAACACTGAATTTGTTACTCTGGACTAGTGAGTGGATGTGGAATTCAATTTCATGTTATAGACTTACCAGCTCATTACTCCTCACAAGGCAATGCCTATGGTATACTTTGCATCTATATGCGTGTTGCTTTGCTGTGAATGCGATGAATGCCTTTATTTTTGAATATGAGTTCGATCCGGTACTTGGTTCTTTGGTAATTTGATAATTTACTTTTAGGGAAAACCATATTGGAGGTACCTATACTTTCTCTCAATTTTTAATTTGGTACCTATGTGTTTTTTCCCTTTTAATTAAACATTTAATTTTATATTTTTAGCAACATTAGCTCTTATAATTTTGTTCTATTGATATTTTTAGTCTCTACATAAGGATTGATGATGTTAATAGAGAAAAAATAAAGACTTAGTTAAGTACAAAAAACACATAGATACCAAATTGAAAATTGAAAAAAAGTATAGGTACCTCCAATATGGTTTTCCCTTTACTTTTATACACATCTTATTATATAAATATGTTATGTATTATTTTTTACCTAATTAATTATCATATTATTAGCATCACTCTAATTAACTGAACTATGAAAAGACTTACTTATATAATAATATTTGTTGTCTAAGTTTAGTTCAACTTTTAGAACGTTATAAGTTAATATGGTATATTTTTTTGTAAAACACTCTATAAGTATCTTTCTTAACTCTCACACTCTTCTTCTCCTACTTGATTGTTGTCAGGAAAATATCAATAGTGTTCATTTGGGAAAAATTAATAAACTTGTAAAATATACCTTGTATATAAGACTAATAGTAATTTTCTAATTAAGTCCTATATTAGAGACCGAAAAAGTATTGCACATGCGCTAATATTTGTTTACATTGTTATATGAGTATTGAATATAAGTTATTTTGGCGTACGAGACCCTTTTGTTACAAAAGCATTGGCGTATAATTTGGCAAACAATTATCACGTTATGTGATTAAGATCTTCTTTGGTTAGTTGGCCCATTAAAAAGGTTCTTTTTTCGTCACGGTTAAAATGCATCCAGACCCTGAAATATTTTTTTGAGTGTATGCAGTGCCATAAAATTTTTTATAATCTATTTTTGACCTGAACTAATTTTTATGGTGCAACAGAAGTTTAACTTTTACTGTTAAAATGTTAATTACCCACAGTTTTGACCAAAAATTATTCTTGTGGTATCTGAGCAGTTCCGCATTTATGCCCATATATGTTTTATTAAATATTTTCCCCTCAAACAGAACTTCATGGCCCACAAAAAGCCGCACGTATATTTCACAGCTCAATTAATGCTGTCGAGGAAGCTTTCAATAAAATTTGAGATTGGAGGCCTAAACTATGAAATCTATTACAACTGAACCCAAGAAATCAAACATGCCAAAGACCAATCCAGAAAAATCAGGATCAAAACAATCATATTCTGAAATTCGTTGAGACACGCACATGATCAAAACACTAATGAAATCGTCCTTTATACGAACCCATTCTCGAAGGTGCCACTCAAGGATAACACAGCCCCTTCCACGTTCTCATATCCCTAATACCTCTATTTCACTCGAGGACATTATTCCGTGAGATGTTACGTGCACCTTAACCTTTTCATTATTCATAGAAAAATTATATTTAACATAAATGTTAGTTGGAGATTCGATTTGATTCCAAATATAAAATATCAATCAACTTTGCCACTCAAATTTGAAATATTTTCTTTAAAATATTTTTATTAATGGTAAGTGGTTCTCACTAAGGGATGTTTCTAATGCATATGATTAAATATACTACCTCCAGTCCTATTTAATAATAGTTTAACAAGATCAACACTCATTTATTATAATTAACTAACTTAAATAATTTTTTTAATTTTTCTAAATTAGTTATTTAACTCCTAAACTAAAGAACGAGTTAGTATAAAGATATAAATCTTATTAAGATATTCCATTTAAACCTATGCAGTTTTCGATTAAAAAAATGTATTGGCCCAAACATAACGAGGATAAAATACACACACAAGCACATGACAATACGAATAGGAAAAATTAAATCATATATTATAATGTCATAACTTCATCAAAATAAAAAAATTACAGCACCTCATGAAAAAAAAAAGCAAAATTCTTAGTCTAAATTTAAATAAATTTAAACTAAAAGTCATACAATCTTTTATAGGAGAAAACTTTTGGCGTCACCTCCACAAGAATAAAGAGTATTAGAATAAGAAAAGAAGTTCAGTTCACAATCAAAACTATGCCCACTGATTCTCTCAGCCTCCTTTCCTCTTTCGCGGTCCAAATCATATTTGTACAAGTCCCTGCTTGTAGCGAACACTAAAGAATCTCTATTTATTACCGTAAATCCAAGGACAATAGAATCTTTCTCCAACCCCATATCTTCAACCAAACTCAATGTCAAAAACATTGACCAAGAAGAAGATTGATAATCTTTCAAAACCCAAAAATTAAAAGTAAGGCTATTTTCATCCCAAACCATCAAATAAATGCCATCATCGCGTCTTGCTGTTCCATTTTTATCCCATTTGAAAATGCATATGTCATGATAATATAATTGAGCGTGACCTTTTAAAGCTTCTTTAGGAAAAAGAAGCCTTCTTGTCTCACCATCCACAAAATTATACGATAACATATAACTGCAGCTTCCCCTCCAATGAGGACAAAGTATCATCCAACTACAACCCATATGTAAGCTTTTTTCTCTTTCTTTCCACACACCTTCTTTTGGTATGTAAGTTTTACACACAACCCGCTCTAATCCTTGGTGTGAATTGCATTCAAAAAGAAGTACTTCATATTGATTCTGGTTGGGTTCAAAGGCCATTGATACGAATACTTGAGGATAATTTAGTTGCAAACTACGTGTTGCAGTGATGGAGGAGTATGTCTGCGTTGCAGGGTTACAAATAATAAATTCTTTTGAAATAACTAATCCTCTTCTTTGAGAGACTTGACAGAAAAGAAGTCCGTTGCCAGAGAATAGGATTCTTCCCAGCCTTTTATTAAGAAATCGAAGAAGGTTTTTAGGGATTATATCAGAAGAAGGAGAAGAAGACGGTGATGCCTTGCTTCCGGGAAATGCACATATTTTAATTTTGTATCCGAAAGGTCCTTGAATGAAAAAGGAAGAATCACCACCACCTTGTAGAGTCAAATTTTGAGTGTGCTTTGCTATAAATTTGTTGTCCTTTGTGAGTCTATTTGTGGATTTAGAACATGACCTGAACTTCAAGATGGATTTTGTCGGCAACCATGAAAATATATTATATATTACCTCTTCAGGTAGCTCCTCCATATTAACCTGTAAACGCATGTCATGCTTTCTCATAAGTAGTTATGCTACCAAATTAAAAAATGGGGGAAAAGCTTAAGAAAATATGAAGGCAACATGTATATGTGATTGAGTCAGTATACTACTTTTCTGGATGTACTTACCTCTTAATTACTACCACGTAAGAGATGCGGCGAATACTCTCTCGCTCTCAAAATTCAGAAATCGATTCACTTATTCAGAAAGCAATATCATGATTGCCGCTGGGGATGTGTGTGTATATATAATGTCTCGTCTACTAAGCTTTCCCCCCCTCAAAGGATAGCGTATCTATCTTAATCATTTTATCTTTATCTCAAAGTATTTTATACCCTTATAAACTATAATATTTCAAAACTTTTAATAGTATCCATTTGTATGGTTTGATTAATTAGCCATTTTTAATTGCCTTTTGGCTCTTCCAAAATAATATCTCTTTTTATTTATACTCACGTTTTAAAACATGTGTTTTGAATTCATGATAAAAATCATTTAATAGATAATCCTCAAGAACCAAATAATAAAAATAATACGGGTATTTTGTTTATCTCAGGTGATGAGCACAGAATCTAATTCGTTTAAATCTAATCTGGATGTTGTAGATTTATGTTTCTGTATTTTTTTTAAAAATATTTTAATGAGTACATATCTAAAATAAAAATACTATCCTAATTTTGAGTTTTTTAAAAATAATTTTATTATCTAAAAATTATTGATTAAAAATTTTAAATCTAAACTATTAAAATAATATTTATTCTTATAATGAGCATTGAAACTCTGCAAGTAGGTCTGAATTTCTATGGCCGAGAAGATATATAGTCATTGCTAATTTTTTTTTTTGATACACGTCATTGCTAAATTTTACACGCTACGTTTTAAGAAAAATATTGTCAAAGCATTTATTAAAGTTGTAACTTTCTTAAGATTTTATAACTTTTTTTTAAGACTCGACGTTCAGTAAGTCATGTAAACTTAATAACTTTGATTATAAAAAAACAGTTAACAATTTAAAATATATTTATATGCATTACTATCAGAGTTGATTATAAAATTCATATTAATTTTTAAATATATTCAGGAGTATAGCTCCATTTGCGACGATTTGGGGTGCAAGCCTTCGCACGTTTTAACATGATACTAGTATCTTCTGACGTCTAAATGTGGATCCTTTAGTTGGACCGAAAATGGTCTGGAATGAATTAGGCTCTCCTCCTTTCTGGGCCTCTAAATTGGGCTAGCCGGCCTTACATTGCTTGTCCGAGGAAAATAAAACAAAAAAGCTTGACTGCCCTTCCGTCGAAAGACCAAGATTAAAAGCTTGACTATATAATATTATATATATTGCCACTTCCATTTTCAAAAAACTATAAGATTTTTTTACCAGCAAGTATAAGCTATTATATTGGTACAGTCCCATGAATTTTGAACAGAAAAAGATTCTTAACATAAAAAATAAAGATTGATATGAAAATAAGTGCATTACATTTTATATTAACGTCCTCTATGATTGTAATAAATTACTCACTTTTCACTATAAAGAAAACTTATAATGACTGATCCCTTCTAATTAGTCCTTCCATATCATATTTTTCTAACCATTGCTGATGTGAACTTTGATCCGAATCATATCTGGCCAAAGATCGTACCTTACTATGTTCTTTGTTTTGATGTGCTTTTATTTATTAGTAACAGTAATCGACCTCACAATTTCAATTGTCTGATTTGCTTGACAAATTTGCTATATATTGCCATTATTTTGTTTGTGTTGGCTCTTGAGTTAGAATACATAATATAATCGTGCTTTCTGTACGAGAGGTACATGTCGTGTAGGATATATACGGTGGCTGACAGACTCTACAACCTTTTCATTCTGTTGTTTTTGAATAAAATGTCCTATGTTCTTACGTTATTTATGTGATTTTATGTCTGCAATTTTCTTCTCTCTTTAGGAGGTAAAGCTGATGAGGATCAGAATTCACCTTCCATGGAAAGCGTAGAAATCAGGAACAAGGACTCTGCTAAGCCAGTTTCTTCCACCATGGGAGGTGGTGGAGAAGACGGTACACCGGAAGATGCTGCTGTATCAGACATGAGGGATATCCTCATCTACGTTGCGCCTGCATGGTGACTCCGATGAGGATTCCCGGTGAGCAGTGGGAGCTTATTCGCCGCGAGTTCGATGGCCACAAAACTAAAAGTGATGACCAAGTATCGGAAGGGAAAAATATCTTATTCCAATTCACATCAACAAGGGGCTACCGAAATGAACTGATTCCACCTCCTGCTCTCCCCTGAATCTGATCTAGAATTTTATGAATGTGTAATCCAAGATTGCGTTTTTAGCCGACATTGAATTTGTTACTCTGGACTATAGTGAGTGCAGTAATGTGGGATTCAATTTCATATTATAGACGTTCCAACTTATTACTCCTAACATGGCAATGCCTATGATATACTTTGCATATATAGAGCATGTTGCTTTGCTCTGGATGCAATGAAGGCCTTTATTTTTTAATATGAGTTCAACTTGGTTCTTTGGTAATTGGATAATTTACTTTTACACACGTCTTATTATATGAACTAGAAATTTCTCCCTGTGCGATGCATAGATTAACCTATATGATTATATTTCAAAGTTTAATAAATTGCATTATCTAAGATAGTATAAAATTTACTTCTAACAGGAATATATTTTTTATTCATTTTAATGGAATTTGAATTAGAGATACAGAATTTATGGCGAGTAGATAAAAATTTGAAATTAATTATTTATTCCTCTATTTAAGCCTCTTATTGACATGCTATTTAATTATGACACCCCCCATTTAATTTAATATACTCAAATTTCAATTAAGATATTATTCAAATTGAAAGTTAATTATTAATTTCTTTATTTGAATCTCTATTTGAAATTGCATTTATGTATAATGTTTCCTATTTAACACAATATATTTAAATCTCAATTAAGATGTTATTTAAATCTCATTAATTAAAGATATTCGGATCTTATAATCTCATATCGGACCCATTTTTCAACGAATCTGGTATTATAAGTTTTCAAGAATATAATTGATATGTTATATATTATTTTTTTACCTAATTAATTATCATATTATTGGCATCATTCTCATTAATTGAACTATGAAAAGACCTACTTATAGAATACTAATATTTGTTGTCTACGTTTTATTCAACTTTTAGAAAGTTGGTGTGTTATAAAAATACTAATATTTTAGTTTCCATTTTTTAAAAGAAAAATGTTAAAATAGTACTATCTCGTATATTTAATATAAAAATTAGTTAATAAGTTAAATTTGATCCTAAATATAAAATCTCAATCTACTTTTTCTTTTATCTCTTTTTAAAATATTCCTATTATTACGAGACCTGTGTTATGAGGGGCTTGGTGTCTAAATTGACAAACAATTACCCTGTTATTCTTTGGTTAGTTGGCCCATAAAAAATTTATTTTTTATTATTCATAGGAAGTTTGTGCTTAATATAATAATTAGCTAAAGATTCAATTTGATTTTAAATATAAAATGTCAATAAACTTTGTCACTTAAATTTGAATTGCTTTCTGTGAAATATCTTATTGTTTATAAGTGGTGTACATGATTACATATAGGGCTTGATTGGGTGGCTCCCAAAACCATGGTTTCGGAGGCAAAATCATGGTTTGGGTGGAATGTTACCAAAACCAATTGTTGCTTGCCCAAAAACATGTCGAGGATAATTAAAATAGATATATAAACACATAATCATATGAATAGGAAAAATTAAATTATATACTATAATGTCATAACTTCATCAAAATCAAAGAATATAGCACCTCATGGAAAAAAAAAGAAGCAAAATTCTTAATCTAAATTGAAACTAAAAGTCATATACAGTCTTTTATAGGATAAAACTTTTGGCACCGCCTCCACAAGAATAAAGAGTATTAGAATAAGGAAAGAAGTTCAGTCTGCAATTAAAACTATGCCCACTGATTCTTTCAGCCTGCTTTCCTTTTTCGCAGTCCAAATCATACTTGTACACGTCCCTCCTTGTAGCGAACACCAGAGAATCTCTATTTATTACTGTAAATCCAAGGACAATGGAATCTTTCTCCAAACCCATATCTTCAACTAAACTCAATGTCAAAAACATTGACCAAGAAGAAGATTGATAATCTTTCAAAACCCAAAAATTAAAAATAAGGCTATTTTTATCCCAAATCACCAAATAAATGCCATTGCGTCTTGATGTTCCATCTTTATCCCACTTGAAAATGCGGACGTTGTAATAACGTAATTCAGCGTGACCTTTTAAAGCTTCTTTAGGAAAAAGAAGCCTTCTTGTCTCACCATCCACAAAATTATACGATAACATATAACTACAGCTTCCCCTCCAATGAGGACAAAGTATCATCCAACTACAACCCATATGTAAGCTTTTTTCTCTTTCTTTCCACACACCTTCTTTTGGCATGTAAGTTTTACACACAACCCGCTCTAATCCTTGGTGTGAATGGCATTCAAAAAGAAGTACTTCATATTGATTCTGGTTGGGTTCAAAGGCCATTGATACGAATACCTGAGGATAATTTAGTTGCAAACTACGTGTTGCAGTGATGGAGGAATATGTCTGCGTTGCAGGGTTACAAATAAGAAATTCTTTTGAAATAACTAATCCTCTTCTTTGAGAGACTTGACAGAAAAGAAGTCCGTTGCCAGAGAATAGGATTCTTCCCAGCCTTTTATTAAGAAATCGAAGAAGGTTTTGAGGGATTATATCAGAAGAAGAAGAAGAAGACGGTGATGCCTTGCTTCCGGGAAATGCACATATTTTAATTTTGTATCCGAAAGGTCCTTGAATGAAAAAGGAAGAATCACCACCACCTTGTAGAGTCAAATTTTGAGTGTGCTTTGCTATAAATTTGTTGTCCTTTGTGAGTCTATTTGTGGATTTAGAACATGACCTGAACTTCAAGATGGATTTTGTCGGCAACCGTGAAAATATATTATATATTACCTCTTCAGGTAGCTCCTCCATATTAACCTGTAAACGCATGTCATGCTTTCTCATAAGTAGTTATGCTACCAAATTAAAAAATGGGGGAAAAGCATAAGAATATATGAAGGCAACATGTATATGTGATTGAGTCAGTATACTACTTTTCTGGATGTACTTACCTCTTAATTACTACTACGTAAGAGATGCGGCGAATACTCTCTCGCTCTCAAAATTCAGAAATCGATTCACTTATTCAGAAAACAATATCATGATTGCTGCTGGGGATGTGTGTGTATATATAATGTCTCGTCTACTAAGTTTTCCCCCCTCAAGGGATAGCGTATCTATCTTAATTATTTTATCTTTATCTCAAAGTATTTTATATCCTTATAAACTATAATATTTCAAAACTTTTAATAGTATCCATTTGTATGGTTTGATTAATTAGCCATTTTTAATTGCCTTTTGGCTCTTCCAAAAATAATATCTCTTTTTATTTATACTCACGTTTTAAAACATGTGTTTTGAATTCATGATAAAAATCATTTAATAGATAATCCTCAAGAACCAAATAATAAAAATAATACGGGTATTTTGTTTATCTCAAGTGATGAGCACAGAATCTAATTCGTTTAAATCTAATTTGGATGTTGTAGATTTATGTTTCTGTATTTTTTTTAAAAATATTTTAATGAGTACATAATCTAAAATAAAAATACTATCCTAATTTTGAGTTTTTTAAAAATGATTTTATTATCTAAAAATTATTGGTTAAAAATTTTAAATCTAAACTATTAAAATAATATTTATTCCTATAATGAGCATTGAAACTCTGAAAGTAGGTCTGAATTTCTATGGCCGAGAAGATATATAGTCATTGCCAAATTTTACACGCTACGTTTTAAGAAAAATATTGTCAAAGCATTTATTAAAGTTGTAACTTTCTTAAGATTTTATAACTTTTTTTTAAGACTCGACGTTCAGTAAGTCATGTAAACTTAATAACTTTGATTATAAAAAACAGTTAACAATTTAAAATATATTTATATGCATTACTATCAGAGTTGATTATAAAATTCATATTAATTTTTATAATTTTTAACCCATATGTAAGCTTTTTTCTCTTTCTTTCCACACACCTTTTGGTACGTAAGTTTTACACACAACCCGCTCTAATCCTTGGTGTGAATGGCATTCAAAAAGAAGTAATTCATATTGATTTTGGTTGGGTTCAAAGGCCATTGATACGAATACTTGAGGATAATTTAGTTGCAAACTACGTGTTGCAGTGATGGAGGAGTATGTCTGTGTTGTAGGGTTACAAATAATAAATTCTTTTGAAATAACTAATCCTCTTTTTCGAGAGACTTGACAGAAAAGAAGTCCATTGCTAGAGAATAGGATTCTTCCCAACCTTTATTAAGAAATCGAAGAAAGTTTTTAAGAATGATGTAAGAAGAAGAGGACGGTGACGAGGATGAATATGCCTTGTTTCCTGGTAATGCATGTAGTTTAATTTTGCATCCAAAAGGTCCTTGAATGAAAAAGGAAGAACCACCACCATCTTGTAGAGTCAAATTTTGAGTGTGCTTTGCTATAAATTTGTTGTCCTTTGTGAGTCTATTTATAGATTCAGAACATGACTTGAACTTTAAGATGGATTTTGTCGGCAACCGTGAAAATATATTACTACCTCCGGTCCTTAATATGAGATCCTATTTGACTTTTATTTTGATCCTAAATATAAGACCCCAATCCATTTTGTCTCTCATATTTACTCAATATTTTTCAAGATAATCCTTTTAATAATTATAGTTCTAGTTAATACACTTGATTAGTAACGATATTTTAGGAAAAACAATATCTATTTAAGACAAATAACTAACTCAATTTACTTTCTTAATCTCCTCAAATTAGTCAATTGGCTTTTATAATTAGGACCGGAGGTAGTATATATTACCTCTTTAGGTGGCTCCTCCATATTAACTTGTAAACGCATGCCATGTTTTTTCGTAAATAATTAGGCTACCAAATTAAAAAATGGGGAAATTGGGGAAAAAGCATAAGAAAATATGAAAGCAACATATATATGTGATTGAGTCAGGATACTCCTTTTCTGAATGTACTTACCTCTCAATTACTACTTTTATCCTTATTATAAGATCTATTAACTAATTTGATTAGATTAAGAAAGTCAAGTAAATTAGTTAATTATAAAAAATATGACATGTTTTTTCTAAAACACTATAATCATCTTTTTTAATATCTTCTACTTGATTATGATTGAAGGAGTATTCATAAGATTAATTTAGAAAAAATTGATAAATATGAGAAATAAGTCTTATATTTAAAACTAAAATTAATTTAATAATTAGATCCTATATTAAGGATTGAAAGAGTACTGTGCAAGAGATGCTGCGAATACTCTCTCGCTCTCAAAATGCAGAAATCAATTCACTTATTCAGAAAATAATATCATAATTGCTGCTGGGGATGTGTGTGCATGTATATAATGTCTCATCTGATCTGCTAAGTTTTTGTATCCTCAAAGGATAACGTGTCTACCTAAATTATTTATTTTTTTTGGTAATATCTATCTAAATTATTTTATCTTTATCTCAGAGTATTTTAAACCCTTATAAACTATAGCTCAAAACTTCTAATATTACCCATTTGTAGGGTTTGATTAATTAGCATTTTTTAAGTGTCTTTTGACTCTTCAAAAAAAAAAATCTCTTTTATTTATACTCACGTTTTAAAACACGTGTTTTGAATTCATGATAAAAATCATTTAATAGATAATCCTCAAGAACCAAATAATAAAAATAATATTTTATTTATTTCAAGTGATGAGTATCAAATCTGAACTGTCTAAATCTAATTTGGATGATTTAGATTTATGCTTTTATTTTTTTTATTTAGATCATTAAAATGATGCTTATTATTCCTATAATGAGTACTGAAAATAGGTCTGAATTTTTATGGGCCAGTATATATAATCATTACTAAATTTTACACGCTATGTTTTTTTTTAGCACTAAATGCTAAGTTTGAAGAAAAATAATGTCAAAACATTTATTAAAGTCGTAACTTACTTAAGATTTCATAACTTTTTCTTAGACTCGACGTACAGTAAGTCGTGTAAACACAATAACTTTGATTATAAAAATAGTTAACGATCTTAAATATATTTATATGCATTACTACCAATGTTGATTATAAGATTCAAATCAATTTTCAAAGGGGTGTTTGGATGAGTTCATGGGTATTTTTAAAAAGTATTTTTTTCACAAATCGAGATAAATTTCTCTGCATATTTACTTTGTAGACCAAAAATTACTTCTGAAATTATGGTTTGTTTTCTATCCAAACATCATTTCAATATATTCAGGAGTATAGCTCTCTTTGCGACAATTTGGAGTGCAAGCCTTCTTTAGCATAACAATTTTTTTCCCCTTGAGCCCCCATAATTATTGTTAGTATGGTGTGTTCTGACGTCTCAGTGTGCCTAGATCGTAATTTTGTTTTGGGTACACCTATTTGTTTAATTAAAAAAATTGTAGATCCTTTATTTGAACCAAAAATGAGCTGGAGTGAATTTGGCGTTGGGCTACTCCTTTCTGGGCCACTGAATTGGGCTAGTCAGCCCTATGTTGGTTGTTAAGTGAAAATTGCAATGTGATTTCGTGATGTTGGGTTAAACCCCTACTTATCATGCAAAACATAGGAAAAAAAATATTATCTCCAATCCTAATTATAAGCTCTTACAGTATTAATTATAATAAGATCTTATAATTAAAATGGAAGGTAATAACAGATGAAATTGATTTCTTCAGAGTTTTCCCCTTTTGCCCTCGAGACAAACAAAGATGATTGTAGTATTTTAGGAAAAACATGTTATATTTCTTATAATTAACTCACTTACCTATCTTTCTTAATCTAATCAAATTAGTTAAATACATCTTATATTAAAGACTGAAATAGTATAATATATGCTGCGTGTATTATATTACTCCTTCGATTTTAAATGTAAAGATTATTTTATACTACCTCCAATCTTAATTATCTAATTCGAGGTTTTATAATTAGGACCGAAGATAGTAATATACTATCTCCCGAAAGTAGTAATATACTATCTGATCCTAATTATGAGATTTTATTTATAGTTTATAAATGAGATTTTATAATTAAAAATAAAAATAACAATTTATACTACAAAGTATATTTTATATTTAAAATTTCAAAGTATAATGTATGAGGGATAAATAGCGGGCCCATATGCAGCTGGCATTCTCTTTCCACGTGTGGGCTCCCTTGCCGTCATGAGTCATCCGAGTGGGAACGCATCTCGCGATCTCATTTCACACGGGGGCGGCTGAAAAACTGGACGAACCGGTAGACGGTAGTAATTTCAGGTAACTAAAATTGAAATAATATAATTAAATTTAGAAATAAAATTGTTTATATTTAACTATTAAAAATAATTAATTCTCGAATAAATGAACTAATCATTCATGGACCACACAAGATAAGCATGACATTAATTATGCCCCTCAAGTTTGTCTTAATATACTTGTCTTAACTTGTTACTAGGATTAAAGTGTGGAAAATAGTGCTATAGTGTGAATTAGGAAACTTCACTGAAACTCCATTTCTGAGCAGAATAATGAACACCCTGTGTTTTAAAACCACTGAAAGCCACTGATTTGGGCACAAACGTGACACACACGAGTTTGGATTATTACTTAAACCAGTTTTAAAAAAAGGAACATATACTTTAATCATTTAAAAATATTTAAATTAAAACGTGACCTTATCCATATAATTTCAGGTTCGTTAATTAATTCTGCCCTTTCACGAGTAATAATATATCTTTTTTTTTTTTTGGGGGTATGGCTTTAGCATAAACAGATGCCTGCTGTGAAAATCTCAGCGTCTACTTTACTTAATCTGATAATGATTCCGAAAGGCAAAGGCTCACATGCTAACCCACAGCCCATCGCTTTTAAAATAGTCACTTGTGATTATTTTTGTCTTGGTGTATTTGAATATTGCGATTTCCACATGTTTAAACCTTGATTGCTATGTTTTTAAGGAAAAATTATTTTCTAGATACCTATATTTTTGTCTTAATTTCTAATTCAATATCTATGTATTATTATTTTGGTTAGTATAACTTTTAGTCCTTTAACTTTACTCTCATTTTGATTTTGGTCTTTCAAATTTTAAATCATAAGTTTTGGTTCCTGAAAGAGCAAAATGATCCAAGTTTTTATTGGATTATAAAAGTTAATATTATAAATGAAAATAAACTTAAAGGATCAAAACTTGTAATTTAAAATTTAAGAGACCAAAATCAAAATAAAAATAAACTCGAAGGATCAAAGTTTGTATTACTCATTTTTAATGGGGTGACTTAGTTTTGTTATGTTAAGACCATTAATTCTAATAACTTTGCTCTATTAGTATTATTAACTCCCGTACAGAAGCTAACCAAACTAACAGAACAAAACTAAATTTTTAATTAAGATAAAAAGACATAGATACAAAATTTAAAAAAAAAAACATATAGAAACCTCCAAAACTATTTTCCCTATTTTTAATTAGAATGAAATTTATTTAATTTTACAAATTATTTTGTATGTTAACTAGTTCCGTCACATGGGGTATCAGGAATAAATTGCATTATTCATAACTTGGAAATATAAATTAATAGATGGAATTTATAAATGTATTTTCAACTAATAGAACATTGATTTTAAAGTATTCTTTTTTTTTTAATAAAATAACATGAAATGATCAGTGATGAATAAAATGAGAATAATGCGACGGCATATGAATGGAGTTTGGACTCATTAATGGGTATATTGAGGTGTTTTGCTGCTACGCCCCCTGGTTTTCCTTCCCATCTGTCGCACATGGGGCAAAGGTCAAGTTGAAGTTGGATTCATCTTCTTCTAATTCTATGCTAGTCATATTATTTATTTGTTCTATAAAATGTTATTCATATTTTTAAGTTTTACGCAACATATAATAAAATATATTTAATTGGATAAAGTAAGTAGCCATGAAATAAAGATTTTTTTTAGGAGTCATCTTGTCCACGTCACATAGTCCCCTCTATGAACAGGTGTTGCACCCTTGTGAGAAAAGTCAAACACAGTTACTGAATATTTTGTCCGTAAAGTGACGATGTTTGTTGTGCAATATAGGAATAAGCTTGAAATGGGACGAAAGCTTTAAAGTTCAAACCAAAACTGTGTTTATGTGTGCCACTTCAAGAATAATTTGTGGTCCGTGAACCATCAACTTCAGTTTCAATTCTTTAAAGTGATTAGGAATTCTGGAGTTTTGAATATAACTCTGATTTAGTCTCAGAAATATCCCGTAAGTAACAATTCAATGTTTTGGTTCGATTTCGATCAGAACAAATCCTGCTTGCCCACAGATTTTGGAACACTGAATATTCATGGAGCATGAGAGACGATCGGGAATCTGACCAGAATAAGATATTATTACAATTTTAAAGCTTGGAATGTTCCATATATGGTCTTCGCAAACGTGTGCGCTTTGGTCGGCGGTCTCAACCGTTAGCCACCGTTACTCGCCTCCGTTACCGTTAATGCATCGCCGTACATTGACGACCCCATCAGCCCCTTGCCGTTTATTGTTAAATCAGAGGCATCTGCCGCGGACCCCCCCCCCCCTTCCGGTATATCGCCCTTATCTCCCCTCCCTCTCGTTTCTCTCTATATAATATGAATTTCTTCTGCCCCAAGTCTATTTCGAGAACACCCTCCTCCTAAAGCCCCCCGAACTTGCATTCGTTCCATTGAGACGCAGAGCAGAATCAAAGAGAAGGAAAAGTCAGCAAAGCTTCCAGCTTTTCAACCTCTCGGGGTTGAATTGGAACTGTTTCTGAGGTCAGTGCTGTTACTTTTCTCGGGGTTTTCTCCATTTTTCTGTTGTTGCTTTCGAATGAAGAGTAACTTCATTCTCTTTGATTGAAACCCCATATGAATTACTCTGTCTCTGAGTTGACTTCATAAGCTATGGTTTGTAGTTTCTATCTGTCTCTTATCTTTCATGGGTCACGAAATCCTTCATGTTCAAGTAGAAAGCCTTGCAAGGTCGGTGGGGCGGTTAAAAAGTTCTGCTGTATTCTTTTTGTTAGTGGGTGTTCTGAAATAATTTGTTGCCTATCATTTGCGTTGAGAACTTGCTAAAACTGTTTGATTCTACGACAGCGGCATGCATTTCTGATTCTGTTATATGGCCTCTTCGCAAGAGCTTTCTATATCTATATTTATGTTGTGATTTCGTATGAATGTGACGATTGATGTGTTTTGGATTAGGACTGATGCATTTCGAACAATTTCTCGTATTTTGTAGAGAAAACTTAGTTTACCAATTCGTCTGTTATGCTTCTGGTCGGTGCCTTTATTTCTGTATTCGAGCAAAATACTTAATGTCTGTTGGCCAAACAAGTAACTAAGAGAAAATATCTTCTATTGCTGAAACTGAATATGGGAAAATGACTTGACTTCTCATTGATGAAAATATGATATGTATGTACAAGAGAGTCTGCGACTATGTGCATAACAGAAATATAACAACTGTTAAATCAATATAATTTATCTAACAGAATAGTTATGTTATACTTGACAATTGTTGTTTACTTTTCAAATTACATGATGAAGATGGGCATTTGAACTGTTTCCATGTAAAGTATTATGAACTTTAATGCATTCTATTTGTCTGCTATGAGTCAATCACAGCGTTCCATTGCCTGCTCAATTTCTCTTGGTATTGTGTATATGTGTTTGCTTTTGTGTTCGTAACCTTGTATAACTCATTTCATTTTTGCTTTTCATTGGTTGTGTTGGATATTTACGGAGCATCTTTCTTTATTGTTGTAGCAGGCGTATCTTTTGTCATTTAAACACCTTTGGTTCATGTTTCGATCAGAAGCATAAATTCCAAGGCTGATGTTTTTCTGATTTGCTGATAGCCCTTTCAGGATCTCTTCTTGCGCAGTATAGATAGCGCCATCCTTCTAGTATGGACTCACAGCAGATTTTCTGTTACAGTGAGACTGATACAGGACTTGTTAATTCATCATCTCATCCTGCTTTTTCATCAGTACCCAGCAGGCTGCTTGAATCCTTAAAAAGTGACTTAAGAAACTCACCTAATTCCTCCTTTTCTAATCACTTAGATTCTGATTCACTTTCAACATTGAGTGATAGCCAGGATAATAAATACAGTTATAGTGAGATTCATTCTGGTGTGAGCCCTTCTTGTGACTCTTCTCTGGAAACCACTCACAACTGGCACAGTTCAACATCGTCCATGGATTATCACCAAGATGGACCGCATCTATATTCTGCTAAGAGCTCTCTTCTAAACAATGTAAACTGCAGCCAGAAAATCAGACATGCTCTGTCAGAAATAGAATCATCTGTGATGGCCTCTAACAGTGGTAATGATGCCACCACATCAAATAGCCCTTCTAATAAGAATGTCAGTGGCAGGCCAATGACTTCTGGCCGTAGAAACATATCGTGGAGTGATGACCAGAGTTTACAGAGTTTTCAAGGTCAGCCATCTCTTGCTTCTAGTAGTCAGCAGTTGAGCGAAGTTGCACATGCAGAGAAACGACACAAAGCAATAGAGGAAGAATTGGTGCGGGGTTTTCCACCAAGTAATTTGAGACAGTTGTTGATTGCATGTGCAAAAGCGCTTTCAGAAAACAACGTGAAAGATTTTGATCAGCTGATTGAAAGGGCTAGGAGTTTTGTGTCTATTACTGGGGAGCCAATGCAAAGGCTCGGTGCTTATCTGGTAGAAGGGCTTGTTGCAAGGAAAGAGGCATCTGGGAACAACATCTATCGTTCTCTCAGATGCAAAGAGCCGGAAGGCAAAGACTTGCTCTCCTATATGCACAGGTTGTATGAAATCTGCCCCTACTTGAAATTTGGTTACATGGCTGCCAATGGAGCCATTGCAGAAGCTTGCAGAAATGAGGACTGTATTCACATCATAGACTTTCAGATTGCCCAGGGAAGTCAATGGGTGACTCTCCTTCAAGCCCTTGCAGCAAGACCCAGTGGGGCTCCATATGTCAGAATCACAGGGATTGATGATCCTCTTTCTAAATATGCTCGTGGCGATGGGCTTGAGGCAGTTAGTAAACGGTTGGCCATGATCTCTGAGAAATTTCACATCCCAGTTGAGTTTCATGGATTGCCAGTTTTCGGTCCTGATGTGACGAGGGACATGCTTGACATCCGGCCCGGAGAGGCTTTGGCTGTGAACTTTCCCTTGCAGCTCCATCACACAGCTGATGAAAGCGTTGATGTGAATAACCCAAGGGATGGGCTTCTCAGAATGGTAAAATCACTATCTCCCAAGGTGGTCACTCTGGTGGAACAGGAGTCTAACACCAACACAACTCCTTTCTTCAACAGGTTCATAGAAACCCTGGATTACTACTTGGCAATGTTCGAGTCCATCGATGTCACCACCCTCACGAGAGACGACAAGATGAGGATTAACGTGGAGCAACATTGTTTGGCCAGGGATGTTGTGAATGTGATTGCTTGTGAAGGGAAGGAAAGGGTAGAGCGACATGAACTGTTTGGCAAGTGGAAATCTAGGTTGACAATGGCAGGTTTCCGACAATATCCAATGAGCACCTATGTAAATTCTGTTATTCGGAGCCTACTGAGGTACTATTCAGAGAATTATACACTAGTGGACAAGGATGGTGCTATGTTGTTAGGGTGGAAGAGTAGGAATCTGATATCAGCCTCAGCATGGCATTGATCAGCTAAGGTTTAGGTTGATTTTTAGTTCCATGTATCTTATCTACACATTTGATTTGTCTCTTTTGGTTAGATAGGTTCATAAGTAGTTTCATGTACTTATACTGCAGTATGTTGATTCTTTTATACAGAGATGCTTGTATCTGAAGGTGGTCCTATTATACTGCATATATAATGGCAAATTAGAGATTCTTGAACTGCCTGGCTTGGGACATATTCACAGTAAACACTTTGTTTTGTCACCTTTTTTCATTAAGTTCTGTCTGTTACTTGTTTATGCTGGTCATGATTAACATATGGCAGGCCCAGCATCTGCAAATTATGTTTAGGGTTTTGTGAAGGAAAAAGCCTCATTTTGATTAAACAAAAGGGAGAAAGAATTTGTGGGCCATAACACACTGCTGTGTTGGATTAATGGGCCTTTGCTGTTTTTGTGTTGGGGGGGGGGGGGAGTTGTAAAGGGCGTAGGGATTTTGGATTGGATTTTTCACTGGCCCATCTCAACATCTCTTCACAAGCATTTCGGTTTAACGATGGGCATCTTGGTCATCAGTTCTAAATTATATTACTTTTTTAATCATATATATATTTTATATATAACCTATTTGGATTTTGAATATTTGAGTGATTGAAAAGTAATTCCTCAAGTTCAGCTATGGTTTTCTTTGTTTTGTGTTAAAAATTATAAGTTGAGAATTGCTTTGTTTTATATTAATAAATATACGCTTAATATACAAAATGGCTGACAAATTATTTCATAACTAGTAAATTCTCTCGTGTAATGCATGAGATATTTTAAAAGAAAACTTGATATAATAAATTTCGTGCTAAGGTTTATTTTCATAATTCTATTAAATAGTTTGTACCCAAAAAAAAAAATTCTATTAAATAGGATCAAGATGATATTTCCTTTCCAGGACAATAAATAGTACTCCTTCGGTCTTTTATATGGGACCCAATTCTTGAGTTGGTTTTGGTCCTAAATATAGGACTCATTTCTCATATTTATCATTTTTCTCTAAATTACCTCTATGGATACTCCCTCAACCATAATCAAATAGAAGAGGGAGAGGGTATTAAAAAAGATGATTATGGTATTTTAGGAAAAATGGGTCACTTTTCTTATAATTAACTAACTTACCTAATTTTCTTAATCTAATCAAATTAGTTAAATAGGTCTTATATTAAGGACCGGAGGAGTATTATAGATTTGAATTATCTTCAAATGAATCTAACACTGTGCTGCATCAGGCTTGTTTTGGGGCTAAGTCATGGAACTTTCAGATATTTACGTGGCACCTTTCCTAAACCTTCAAATTATTTATTAACTTGATTTAGTTTCATTTACGCTTAGTTAAATCATACTACTCCTCCGGTCCTTAATATAGGACTCAATTATTGAGTTGGTTTTGGTCCTAAATATAAGACCCATTTTTTATATTTATCAATTTTCTCTAAATTATCCCTATGGATATTCCCTCAACCATAATCAAATAGAAGAGGGAGATGGGGTATTAAGAAAGATGATTATGGTGTTTTAGGAAAAATGTGTCACTTTTCTTATAATTAACCAACTTACCTAACTTCCTTAATTTAATCAAATTAGTTAAATGGGTCTTATATTAAGGATCAGAGGAGTATTAGTTAAGTAGATTGCTACACCATCTGCTTAATTGGTTGCGATCTGATGGTCAACAGCGGTAAAAAGAAAAGGATGGTCAAAGGATAATTATGCATTTTCTCATAATGTCGAGATCACCCAAGAAATTTATTAATAATAAATCAAATTCAGGGAAATGATTTATAATTAATTTATTCATTTGGATCTAAATTTAAATTTCGTTAAGTAAATAATATATATCGCTAAAAAATATCCCCATGCAAAATTTATTAATAAAAAATTGAACAAGTGTTGCATCAAACTCACAAGGTTTACGTTCAAAAATTAGGGTAAAAATGCATGTGAAACATGATTTGTTATTCAAATGAGATCTTACAATACTAAATATGGAATTTGCTTCAAAAAAAAAGTTACTATATATGGAGGGGACAAATTTCCCGAAGAAAATTAAGAGCCTCAAAAGTAATATATCTTTCTATTAAACACTCTAACCTTATGTCTCAAACTTATGGCTATGAAAATAACCAAACATTATGGTTTGATTAATTTGATTTAATTAGTGGTTGGACAGATCCGATCTGTTTGTTATTGATGACAACTACTTAAGACTTTGTTTAGAATCACGATTATAAGCACATTTCACATAAGCCGAGGCAAAACTCTTCTGATGTACTTATCTCATATTCAGTAAATTATGATTAAAAAACTGCTTATAAGTCATTCCAAACGGGTCCTAATTAAAACTTGACAACACTTATTAATTTATGGCTAATTTATGGCTATAGTGTATGCTTGAGACTAATAATTATCCGGCTTTGATTGACTTAGTTAACGCCTTCTTTTTCAACTTAACAACGCATAATTATTCATGCCAGATTTAAATTCAAGCATTTCTCAACGTTGTCCATGAGCTCCTCATTTCAAATTTCCTTTGTCCCAACTACTATTATTTGTGCCATATGAGCCTGTACGTTTAACTACCCCATGAAACTTCTTGCCCGGTTAACGCTGACACTTGACCTAACCCCACATGAAAGTAGATTCAATGGTTGAAATCCTCTATACATTAGTTCATTACATATCAAGAGCTTAATTTCTATCAAAGCCATTTCAGTTCCAGAATAGGAAGGCCATGTCTCTTGCAGCATCTCATCATCTCATCGCGAAGAAGCTTCGGCAAAGACTCACAACTTCAATACCAGTAACAAAAACACTATAACGCAGGATGGAGATGATGATCTTCACTATCTTGCTCTACTCTTTCGGCTGTTGAAGCAACACGGATACCTATTGAGCCATGACGGTGCTTTATTTATACATTATAGACTATAAGACTTGTTATTTGAGTTTGTTATGTTGTGTGCCAACTTTGATGGTGATATGGATATATTATGTTTGTTTGTGGTTTTCTTTAATTTCGTTTCGGGCATGAATAAAAATACCACGCTAGAGAATCGTGTCTAATGCTACGACTAATCTTTGCGGGTGTTGATCAGTAATCACGTGGCTTTAGGCTCTGTACCAAGCAAAGTCCAAAAGTATCACGATGATATATTCAATATATTACCTCCAATTTTTTTAATATAAAACCTAATTAATTAATTTGAGTAAGTTAAGAATATTAGTTAAATTAGTTAATATGATATATATTTTTTAAAACATCATATATATTTTCTTTAATTTTCTTCTTCCCTCTCCTTTTTAATTATTATTGAGAGAATATTAGTAGGATTAATTTGAAAAAAAATTGATAAACATGTAAAATAAATCTTACTTATAAGACTAATATCAGCTTACAATCAGATTCTACATTAAACACGAGTATTATATTTGCATAGGATTTTATTATCCTTCCAATGCCGTGCACAGTTCCTTTTTTGATGACCAATAATGTCGCGCACAGTTGAACAATGAAAATGCGACCAATGGGATAATAACATTTGCATATGCATGATTGTCAAAGGAAATTTGATGTGTGATTCCACGCAGACGAAAAAAATGCATGGTTTCAATATCGTCCTCGTGTTTCATAAAAGAGAATTTTTGGGGATAATTATTTTGGTCCATGTATATCTCTTACACGTTTGATTTGTCTCTTTTGGTCCAACCCTTTTTTTTTTTAAAATTGTCCTACTAAGGTCTCAAATAAATCAAAATGTGAAAATAAAGATTTCATTTATTGTGGGGGGGGATGAATGAATTTTTTTTGGAATATTAAATAATCATGAATTAATATTAATCTTGTATAAAGGTGATAAAAAAAAAACAATTCGATAAGAGTAAAATAGAAATGGAAAGATACTTCTCACTTGAAGGTAAAGATTGCTTAGTACATAAATTATTTTAAAAAAATTAAACATGGAATTAAAAACAATTTAAAAAAAGAAAAGGTGAAACTTGAACGTCGTTGAGTAGTTGTCCCTGAGGAAGCACCCGTGGGAGATGACATGGGGCGCCAGACGACTAGCAACAGGGGTCAACAATACAGTGGTCAAAAGTTCGAAACGTCAAAGGAAGGATGGTCAACAGGTCAAGGGACAGTTATGTCTTTTCCCATAATCCCCAAGTGGCAAGGAACTTTAATTTCTAGTAATAAACTAAACTCAAGAAACTTATTTGTGATCTAACTTTATTTTCCTTACACAAAAATCCTAAAAAATGGCTTCTTACTCTTTATGCTGTGGATGCCAATGGCGGACCAAACACCCGAAAATTATATTTTTGGAAGAAATATAAAAGTTTTTAAAAAATGAGTTGCAAATATTAATTCAGACAGTTATAAACAAAAATTTTGATTATGAACTGAGAATTTCATTTTAAACCCAAATGTCTTATAATTTAAAATGCTTTATATTTCAGAGTTGTGGGAGAATTGCATATCATTAGTATTTAGAATGGGTATAATTTTATAAATAAATAAAATTGGTCTAACGTACTCGTCCAAAGTCTATGTTCTATACAAGACTTGTTACTTTGGTGTGGTCAAGTCTCATGCAACGATGGCGTGTCGTTGTGAATTAATTGAAGTTCATGTGACTTGCTCTTGTTTCAAACTATATTTTATATATATAAGACTTGTTATTTTGCCATGGTCGAGACTGGGCCAATATGGAATAGTTGAGTTTCAGCCATAAATATATAATTAAGAGACTACTTTATTGACCCTCTCATCTAAATTTTTATGGTTATTGAGAAGAAGATTTATCCATGTCTCTGGTACCCAGCGAAAATTCGATGCGCGCATTTTATAACAATGCCTTAATGCACACAAAAATGAATTAAATATTACAAGTAGTTGAATGCATAAAAATAGATATAAAAATGGGAAGCATTTATCCTTTCAACAGAATAGAAAATACACAGTAAACAACAAAAGTTAAGTTAGTACGACTATATTATGACAAAAATGTCTATGACTTGCGATGTTAATATGAAAATTCTTGTGATGACATTTCTACAAATACAATACGTAAGCAAGTACCATGCGTTGATCTCCACGCATTGATTGATTCAATTCAAGGCTTGGGTTCATTTGTAATATCATTTTGAAGGTGAACCTGAACAATTGAATTGAAAGAAGAAAAATCAATTGATGCTTGTGA